CTACTTTCCCTCATCGCGTACGAGAGATATTTGCTGCTGCCAAAAGGAAGTGGCAAATCTACTCTCTGTATACTTGTAGTACGGTAAGTACTTGCGTATTAAATTTAAATTCTGGTTGTTAGCCTACTAGTTGATATCGTTTGCAGCGCTGGTCAGTGAAATTGAAAGAGTAAAAATAGAATATGGAAATTGACGATGTAAGGAAATGTTTACGGCCTTATTTATAAAAAATAACGTAGATTTAGACAGTTGTTTAATGTGACATTTTCATAAAACTTTTGTATTCAAGCAGCTTTTTAATTCTATGTATGTACTTAAATTTTTATGAAAGTATTATTTCTCGTCTCTAATTTTCTATAAAACTATTTGCAGTCATTAACCAACAAATAAGTTGTCAAAAACAGTAACTTAAGCAATGCTGCTATACGAAATAAAATTATTAGTGGCAAATCAAAATTTTGAAAAGTGCCGATTTTCACATTCGATAGTTGGACATGGTAGCGACGAGATGTACGAGCATTTTTTTCTTAAGAGCTGCATACTGATTTAATAAATTTTTTATAGAAGCAAATTTATTTGCCATTTATTGTGCGTAATTTTATATGAATTTTTAGTTTTTCTTGAGAGCCTTTACAAATAAAAAAAATTTCGGAATATGTACATATGTACATATGTACATACATACGCAGCCATATAACTTGATTTCAAGAAAAACGAATTTTCATTTGGCACGTTCAGAAGGCGAAACAGCTCAGTAACTGGTGCGATTGCACCTTCTGAACGCGTTGTTGTGTACTTCTGATCAACTAAACAGTTGCGTGTTAGATGATCGTAATATATTTCTGATCATTTGAGGCAACATGTTGTGTGTTGTTGAATTTGACAGCTAATGTATGAAGTCGTTCAAAGGACGCATAACGATCACTGATTTTTGTTTAGCAACGGTTGCGCTCAACTGCTGCGCCTTCTGAGCCTACCTATTGATAACTTTTTTTTTTGATAACACTGCGACAGCTCAAATTGGTATTGAGTAAACCCAAATGCAAGATAGAGTTTTTGAATTTCATTGAGTTTTTTAAATAAATACTAAAATTAGAGCTGTATGAATGGCGAAAGAAAAACTTCATCCGATTTTTTTAAATCGAAACTACATTTTAACATATGTACATATGTCCATGCATACATAAATATATTTAATATGAACCCATGGTTTCAATTGTACGCATATCGCCAGGGTTTTCCCCACAACTTGGTTTTGCTGCAGTGAAGCGACAGAACAAGTGACGAGAAAAAATATATGCGGACACTTACATATATATGTATCTATGCACATACGTATCTATGCACATATGTATGTATCTATGCACATACGTATCTATGCACATACATATGTACATATGTACTTAGGTATGTATGTATATCAGCATTTTAGTTGAAAGTACGTTTTGCTCGTCGCTCTCTTCATCGCTCCACTACATTCCTGTCCTTAGTTTTTTTAAGATACCACAAATGCGCGATCCAGAAAATTCTTCTACCATTCTTGCCACAAATGTATGTTTTCTACGAAAATACTCAAGTACTACCAGTAGAGTACTCTACTGTCAAATACCTTTTACTCGCACTAGTTGCGGAAGGCAAAGCAAATACTCTACGCGTCTTGCTATTGATCGGTAGTATACGTACGCTTTCAGAAACTGGTTTATGCTTACTCACACTTGAACCGAACGATGAGAGTAAAGGAGGGAAAGTATTTGCGCGGCGATCGGATGTCTTGTTAGGCCCTTTAAATGGAATTGCGCAGGAGTTTAATATATATTAATATTATACTCGCACATACATTTCTATGTACTATTTGCTCAGAGCTCAAGTACAGCTCATTAGACTTTAGTACAAATTGTTATCCGCAACAAAAGCTAACTCAAAAGATAAGAGTAAAGCAGCAGAGTAAATGGCGAGGCAAAGAGATACGGCTGAGGTTGAAAGCAGCAATCTGCTAGACAAACAGATAGGAATAGGGACAGTTGAAGCCATGCAGCTGCTACATTGTCGCCAGAGTAAACTTCACACGTAGTAACGAGTACAAATGTGGGCGTACAAATATACATTTCTATGCGACGCGTCGATGTGGGGGTAAAACTGACAGCAGAGGCAGATAACAAAGCGAGTGTGGCAACGAAGCAGGGATGAAAAATGGAAATTTCAGATTGTACTTAATATCATAAAATAAATATTCCTAAATGAGACAGATTGTACCTAAAAAAAGTTACATCATTCATTTGTAGTTTTTTTTATGAATTCTATGGATAAGATGGATGTACTTTAAACATGACTAGGATTTTTGTTTTACCTGAGCCTATATCTATAGACTATAGTCTAATGGGAATCGGAGAAGCGTTGTTTTGTCTAATTTTGACTACTGGAAAATATTGGCGAAAAAGACAAAAAACACACTTTGCGTAGTATACTTCTAAATCCAGCTTTTTCTAAAACAACAGGAAAAGTGTGCTAATTTATCCGATCCCTTTTGACAGGTGCAGCAAGTCTAGAGAAAATAATCAAATTGCCGTAAGTAACTTCCAAAGCATTTTAAATATATTTCCCGGAGTCAAATGTCATGTTTTCATTATGTCATATTTTGACAACAAAATTTGTAGACATATTTCGACACTACTTTCTTTCCTTTATAACTTTATCGATGATATTATGGGTCAAAAACTTACAAATAGCCGCTTTAGCAGCGCATGTACACTCCTGAAGGCCTATTCTGATCTAAATCAATCCAAATACCATTTTTTAGTTCCAATTGACAATTTGTTTTCACTCATTTGACCGCAAATGCCATTGAATTTGACTTTGTGAAAATAATCGTTAAAATTAATAGAAAAAAATTACGAATTGAGGATAAATAAGTAAAGTCTTAATTTTTCGTAGTGGCTGCTCTAAATGCAATGTAAAATGTTTAAGATAATACATAATATGACTTTTTTTACCGACTTCAAAAAAAGAAGGATATTATCAGTTCGCCGGAATTTTTTATTTTTTTATTATGTATGTTACCGCATAGCTATGAACCACGTTAACCGATAATTCTTTTTTCATCGGAAAGGTGGTACCTCAAGGGTGGTCTCATACTAATTTTGTTTAGATCCGACAATTGAATCGTGACGAAATGAACGATAATCTTAAATTTTTATATGAGAATTGAAATCGGTTTTGTTTTTTCCTTCAAAATTACTTATTCATTTCTTCCTTTTGACCACTTTTCTTTAAAATTGTTTATTCTTCAAAATTAAAGCGAAGCTTCTCCCGTGTCCACAAGTATAAGCACGGTAAAGGAAAAAGAAAAAAAAAAAACAAAAAATTCATCCGACCAAAAGATGATTGTACCTAAAATCTAGTGACTGTACCTAATGTACCTTTAAGTCATCAAACGTCGGAA